TCACAGCTTACCACTATACCACAAACAAACCTCCAGTTCTTGTGCTTCCTGGTGCCTTGGTTTTCTGGGAGCATTGTAGTTAACTTCACCAAATCAGAGCTCCGTGTTTTGTTCTCTCCTATACTATTCTACAATGAAAAATTGAGGCTGATGGTCTTCTGGGCAAGCCTACTCACCAGAATAGCAGAAACAGTCCGTTGTAGCCAAAAACTGTTTGTGAGGTCCTAACAACGAGGGTTTACTGAACTATAAGAACGCCTCGGAAGCGGCGATCATGCCAGAAAGGACATGGATTCAGAAATCATGAAACAAGGGCATGTATGTGAAGGCGAAACATGCCACTTGCTCCCGGCTTTTCAGAATTTTTGTCCGTTGTTGTTGAAAATGGACATCAACAAATCAGTTCAGGTTCTAGCTCTCCACCTGATTTCAGGCAACCTAGCTATTCTTAATGCGTCTATGTATAGTGTATGAGCCTTTACTTAGATGTGTGAAATATTGATACATTTGTCAAAAAGTATGGGAATATGAACACCACTCCCCTTTTGGTCCAGCTTCTCTGAGTTTTTGTTGTGAAAATAGATTAGATGAATAGATGGTTCTGATTTCCTCGTTTCATGCAAACCAAGTAAAATAACTGAGAACATGGGTAGCGTGGCCGGGAGCGGTCTGGGCGGCTGGATTAAGGCTCCAGTCTCTTCGGAGGCGGGGTTTGAATCTCAGCTGCCAATCTATGAACCTGTGTCCTTCTGTCATCACCCACCTTGTGACTAGAGACATATGGTTGTCAAGGATGACTATCATTAAGAAATCTGTACACATGCCATCAAAAGCATAGGTGTGTAGTGGTAAACATAGCTGCCTTCCCCAAGCACTTCACTACTGGCTTGATTTTTGACCACGACAAAAGTTGCATTTTCGTTGGCCCTGAGACCTTCATCTGCTGTGAAAAACAAAGACATGATTACTACAAACCCTTTGGCAAATACAGGTAAGGTGGAATGGGGAAAACATGTAAGCAGAAGGCATCATAAGGCAATCAGTGTGGGGTTGGAATGGCCACCTGATACGATCGCCAGCCCCCACCAGTGATAATCTTGTCAAACGAAAAATGTTCGTCAACAAACTTTTTACACAACAAAGCGAGACAATAACTATATAAAAATATCACTTTGAAAATAAAAAACCTTGACGAAATATATTACCATTTTCATTGATTAATCATAATGTGACGATAATGTCGGAGAGATGAATGGACAAGCAATTTAGGTATCATAGGCTATTTTTCCATCCAATCAGTGTGCATGCACTCAATTTACAAGATATGCACAGCCATGTCCTTACATCGCACATATGCTCCTAAACAAACTCTGATATTGGTGAAGTTAACCACAATCCCTTTTCTGACTTACCTGTGGTTAGATTTGTCAAGCGTTTGTAAGTGATCATGACTTTGTTTTGGCAGCAGATTACTCATAATTAAAAGATGGTCTATAGGACCAGCAAAAACTCAAGATTCACAGCTTACCACTATACCACAAACAAACCTCCAGTTCTTGTGCTTCCTGGTGCCTTGGTTTCTGGGAGCATTGTAGTTAACTTCACCAACATGAGAGTTTTTAGAGCATATGTGCAATGTAAGGACACCCACAGTGTGCTTACTAATATTAGGAAGATATTAAGCATACAATGGCAGTGGAGGGATTCAAACAAAAGGTAAACCAGTTTCTGCATTTTGTTAATTGCCATATTTGCTTTAATTTGTAAGAGTGTAGTGTGTAATAAAGGCTGTAAGAATATGAAGCATTTGTTGCTTTTGCTAAGGTTCCCCTAACCGTAGTTTCTCCATATAACATTGACTTCACCAAGCACAGAGCTTTTTAGACACGTAATAGCTTTGTGAAAGTGTCCACCATGCTTAAAACAATTTCACTTGGTTTTACGAAACGAGAAAAGCAGAAACAGAAAAGCAGAGTGAGAGGTTGAAGGCAATTACAGTTCTCAAAAAGTCTGTAGCTAATGGTTGCTTGGTTGTGTATGCGCTGTCATGATGTGTAGGCTTACATGACATTTTGTTGGTTTATAGGAGAGGACTCAGTCAGATAGGCTGGTAGTATGCCTGATATTCTCCTGTACAATTCTCTGATACAGAACAACATTCATGGTTCTTTCGATAATGAGCAGTCTGCCAGGTACTCAAACTTTGTCACTATCCCCATGTGATTGATTATTATTAGTTTTAGTCAATGAAAACTACATAGTTACATGCATTTTCAGGGCTATAGTCAAAGTGCTTGAGTTCTGCTACAATGTGCCTTCACATGTGCATTTCAGACAGTCTGTTGTGTCTGCCCTGTATAAACGAGCGCAAACCACAGCAGTATACAGAAGTCGTGGTTAGTGGTTAGTGATTCGGTGAACATTTATATAACAGCGTATAAGTAAATTCCGCAGTTAGAGAACCCGTGGTTGGCGATGGATGATTGTACTTACGATAAATACTATACTGTACAATCATTGTTGCTAGTTGGAAATATTTGAAAATGATCTATGATTTATTGTCAACCGATAGCAGAGTAGAACGAAATGCTATGGAACGGTAATGAACCCCTGGGCTCATCTTGTTTTGCACTCAGAGGGGCCCCCAGAAATGTTTCATAGGGGTGGCCAGTGCTTGGAAAGCAGCCATGGTCACCACTACACCACTTATGCTTTTTGATGGTATGCGTGCCCCAGTTTTCTTAATTACAGAAATCCTTTGACAACCATTTGTCTCTGGCCACAAGGTGGGTGATCAAAGGAAAGGACACAGATTCATAAGGTTGGCAGCGGAGGGATTCGAACCCTCGCCTCCGAAGAGACTGGAGCCTTAATCCAGCGCCTTAGACCGCTCGGCCACGCTACCCACAAAAAAAGCCTGTTTCACTTGGTCATACGGCTCCAGGTTGAGGAGAATCTGAAGTACCATGGCCTCCAAGGATGCCGCCAGGTTGATGTGCTTTTGCCATTCAAACCAGCTGGCCTCTTCCACAATGAAGCTGAGATGGACCAGGTAAGCCTGCCAGCTGCCTCTACTGCCAGAGTACCAGAGTCTGAGGACTTAGTGTTACACTCTCCTTTCGTGAGCACTGGTCCAAAATGAGTAGCTGTGGCCAAGATATGTGGTGAAAGCCAACAAGTCTAAGGTTCCCAACCGAAGTTTTGTTAATTTACCAAACACAGAGCTGTTCAGACAGTAGGCAGTGGAGTACCAAGTCTGAGAGTCGTGAGCACTTCAAAATGTTCAAACAATAGCTGTGGCGACAAGATAGTGAAAAAGGTTGGGGAATTTTTTGGTATGCGTTTTGACAGTATTTGTATGCATTTGCATTTGTATGCATGTGGTGAAAGAGCATTCACTAGAACACCAACAACAGTCTTTGGGACCATCTAACAAAGGCAAAGTGTAATAATGGCTGAAAGAATATGAAGTATTTGTAATGTTTGCTAAGGTTCTAACTTCACCAAACACAGAGCTGTTCAGACACGAAAGACCAACAAGTAATGGATCAGGAGCAGATTCATTAGGTTGGCAGTGGAGGGATTCGAACCCTCGCCCCCAAAGACTAGACCAGCAATCAGCGCCTTAGACCATTTTGGCCTATTTCAACAGCAAAATCAGAGCCATCTATTCTTTACTCCATTTCCACAACAGCAAAATGTCTGAAGCTGGATCAAAGGTCATATTCCACGTGCTTTCGACAGCAACGGTATTTGTTGCACCCATTCACTAATCAGCAAATTATAATCAGCACAACTTTTATCAGGTAATTCGTGAAAAAGTGAGCAATAGCTGAATACATAGGCAGGTTACTTTCTGAAGCTGGAGTCTCTGACTGTCACTGGGTGCTGAGGTAGCCCCCACTCACCTTTCTGCAGCAAGATGGCTGAGCTTCTCACCTGGCAGCCTCTTTCAGTCAACCTGGAAACATCAGCACTGTGCTAATGAGGCTGAAGGTTGGCGGTCGATGCGGCTCCAGGTGAGGAGAATCTGAAGTACCATGGCCTCCAGAGACGCCGCCAGGTTGATGTGCTTTGCCATTCAACCCAGCTGGCCTCTTCCACAATGAAGCTGAGCTGCGCCAGGTAAGCCTGCCATTTACCAGAGTCTGAGGACTTGGACTGATACTAGCCTGAGCAGTGGCTGTCGGGGGCTCTATTACCCAAATGAGGAGCTCTCGTCCTGCAAAGTTAGCATTCAAAACTTTGCTTGGCTAAATACGAAACAAGGGGTGAACAAAGCTTGGAACTGAAAACCTTGTTGAGAACAGTGGAAATTCAATGTGTAACGTACTAATTTGGTTATGTTATAATTGAATTATATTATTTGAATATGTCATAATTGGGACTCAATCTAACAAAGCTGTAAATTTTACATCTTTATTTCCTCCAACATGAAATAATGAACAAAAACTAAAGACCTTGAAAGATTAAAAATGTAATAATGTAATCTTACCCACATTTAAGCAATGTGGTAGAAAGAATGAAAATAGTTTTATATTAAAGTATTTGTAATGTTTTATGCTGAGCTGTCAATAACTCACCTGAAAACATGAAACCCTAACACTTATGAGATGAGACTGTTTCTCAGATATTTTCATCAGGCATCAACAGTAATGAAAAAGTGTTTCTTCTGACTTCACAGAAGCACTGTCAACAAACAGAGCTGTTCAGACATAGAAAAACAGAACCATCTATTCTTTAATCCATTTTCATAACAACAAAAACTCTGAGAAGCTGGACTAAACGGGAGTGTTTCATATTTCACATACTTTTGACAAATCATCAATATTTACACACATCTACATATTGGTATGTGACCAACAATCTGTTTCCAACTAACAAAGTCAAGCAATGGATCTCTGTGTGTGAGGAAAGGACAGCCAGATTCATTAGGTTTTTGGCAGTGGTTCAGGAGCATAATTGCTTCGAACCCCGAGTGCCCGATTTCAGTAAACATTCAATGGCAAGAGACTCGCCTCCGAAGAGACTGGAGCCTTAATCCAGCGCCTTAGACCACTCGGCCACGCTATTTCACTTCGTTTACGAAACGAGAAAATCAGAGCCATCTATTCTTTACTCCATTTTCACAACAGCAAAATGTCTGAGAAGCTGGATCAAAGGCTGCACCCACGTACTTTCGATTGAAAGCAACGGTATTTGTTGCAATCTACTTCACCAATCCAGCAAATTATAATCAGCACAACTTTTATGCAAGGTAATTGAAAATTAGTGGAGCTTTAATTAGTGAAATTATCTGGTTTTCGTGGCATGGGCAGAATGAATACATAGCAGGTTACTTTCTGAAGCTGGAGTCTCTGACTGTCACTGGGTGCTGAGGGTAGCCCCCCAATTCACCTTCTGCAGCAAGATGGCTGAGCTCTCACCTGGCAGCCTCTTTCAGTCAACTGGAAACATCTCTCTTCAGCACTGTGTTAATGAGTGCTGAAGGTTGGCGGTCGTGACGCTCCAGGTTGAGGAGAATCTGAAGTACCATGGCCTCCAGAGACGCCGCCAGGTTGATGTGCTTTTGCCATTCAACCCAGCTGGCCTCTTTCCACAATGAAGCTGAGCTGCGCCAGGTAAGCCTAAGCAGCTGTCTCTCCTGCCAGAGTACCAGAGTCTGAGCTACTGTGATACCCCAGCCTGAGCCCTCTATTACCCAAATGAGGAGCTCGCCCTGCACACAGTTACTGCCAAAAACTTGCTTGGCTAAATGAAAAAATGGCGGTGAACAAAGCGAACAACCAAGTGAAAAGGTTGAACAGGGAAATTTTTTGGAATGAATTTTGTTACATTGCACTAATTTGTAAGCATTTGGAATTATATTAGAGTGAATATGTTTTCAAGGTGATGAAAGATCCATTTACATCAAATGGAAAATTACAAGCTGGTCAGTCTTTAGGACTCCAACATGAACATACATGAACAAAGCAGAACCCTGAAAGATTGCACATATGTAGACACAGTCTTCATCAATAATTATGTAATCTTACTCTGATATTTAAGACTTTCAATGTGGGTAGTACACATATAAAAATAAGCACTGTGAAAGTAGTTTTATATTAAATATCTGCATATCAATATTACTCGGATTCAAGGCACACCCGAAGACACTGGAGCCTTAATCCAGCGCCTTAGACCGCTCGGCCACGCTACCCACAGTTGACTGTTTCACTTGGTTTTACGAAACGAGAAAAGCAGAGCCATCAATTCTTTGATCCATTTTCACAACAACAAAATGTCTGAGAAGCCAGACCAAAGTTCATATTCCATGTACTTTCAACAAATTTGAAACAGTTGGTTACTTTCTGAAGTCTCTGACTGTCGCTGGGTCCTGAAGTTAGCCCCCCCCAACCCACCTGTCTGCAGCAAGATGGCTGAGCTTCTCACCTGGCAGACTCTTTCGGTCAACCTGGAAACATCTCTTCAGCACTGTGCTAATGAGGCTGAATGTTGGCAGTCACACGGCTCCTGGTTGAGGAGAATCTGAAGTACCATGGCCTCCAAGGACGCCGCCAGGTTGATGTGCTTTTGCCATTCAACCCAGCTGGCCTCATCCACAATGAAGCTGAGCTGCGCCAGGTAAGCCTGCCAGCTGCCTCTACTGCCAGAGTACCAGAGTCTGAGGACTACTGGACTGATACCCCAGCCTGAGCAGTGGCTATCGGGGGCTCCATTACCCGAATGAGGAGCTCTCGTCCTGCACAGTTACTGCATTTCAAAACTTGCTGGGCTAAATGACGAAACATGGGGTCGTAGAACAAAGCTTGGAATCTTTTTACCCCACCAACTGAAAACAGCTTGTTGAGAACAGGGAAATTCATCAGGTATGAATTTGAGTGTACAAAGAGTGTAACGTCATACTAATTTGGTTATGTTATGATTGAATTGTATTATTTCGTAACATGTCATACTTCAACATGATGCAAAATATCAATTCAAATTCAACTGGGAAATTACAAACCTGAGCTGGCCATCCCTGTAAATTTTACATCTTTATTTCCTCCAACATGAACAAAAACTGAATAGACCTTGAAAGGTTGCACATATTTAGACACAGTCTTCATCAATAATTATGTAATCTTACCCACATTTAAGACTATCAATGTGGTAGTACACATATGAAAATAAGCACTGTGAAAGTCGTTTTATATTAAATATCTGCATATGAATATTACTCGGATTCAAGGCACAGTAGAGGCGTAATATTCTTGCCTCAACCATCTCATCACTTTCAAAGAAAAAAAATTATGCTGCATGCTCTTCTTCCTTTGGTGTCAAGAACTCACCTGAAAACATAAAACTAAAGATATTTTCAATTTGAAGGTACACTTATGAGATGAGACTGAAATTATTATTCACGGGAAACATCGACCCCAGATATATTCATAATTTCAGGCACTCACGGGAGCAGTCATGATAAGTGTCTCTTCTAAAGGAACTGTAGGCACATCAAGAAGCACTGTCACTACAAATCCAGGGCTTTATATTAAATACTATATAATTGAGGGTACCCCCCATGGGTTCATAGGGACATTATACAATCAATATTAATGGCAGGAACTTAATATTTTGAATGGTTTAATAACTAACTTTGTTGTAACTGTACACAAAAAATCTGGACATACATATGTAGGGATTTTTCCTTCTTGTAAGTATGACCCGTAATTCCAAAGTTTAAGCTAAAAGTGACTTAATAACAAAGCAAAAAAGTAATATGTGATTACAGGATGACACATACTGGGTAAAGAAAAATGCTGTGGTGTAGGTACAAGCCTTATACCCCAAACCTGACATAAAATGCAGACTCCTGTTGCTGATTGGTTCACAAGGAGACAAATGGACATGATTGTAGATCAATGGTTGGAAGCTTCAAAGAGTCTCTTCCTTCCTCTACCTCATGGGAAAGGACAGAGATATCACACCTCATACAGTCTCCCGATCACTCAAATATAAACAAATCCAGTCTTGGGTTCACACCCCTGTGTCTCACAGTCTCAGGAACAAAAGGCGTGGTGTGGAAGGCAACCTGATGATCATTCATGAAAAGGCAAGCTAATCCACTCCCTTTGATTTTAACCTACCTTGATCATTACATTACTTGTTTGTATTAGGTGACCATGGAAAGCTGGACCGAAGGGGCGTGTTCCATATTTCACATAGTTTCCACAGATGGGTGAATATTTACACAGAGCTTGCACGTAATTGGATGAATAATATAGGCCTATGATAGCGAAATTGCTTGTCCATTTGTCAGTTTTCGTCAACAAAATTGACACTGGTGATGCCTTCCTCTTACTCATGTCCCTGTTCCGACTTACCTGTGGTCAGATTTGTCAAGTGTTTGTTAATAACCAGTATGTGTAAATTATACCATGGCTTTCGGGGATCTCTTTTTTTCAATTTCTTTTTTTTTAAGGTGGTGTGCTTGCGCATGCAAAGACTTTCTCAGTTTTCAACCAGCAGCAACACAGCAAAGGCGGTTGCCAGTGTTCCACTCTCCCTTTCGTCAGCACTGGTCCAAAATGTTCAGCAAACAACGGCGGTGGAGACAAGACAGTGAAAGGGTTGGGGAATTTTTTAGAAGGCTTTTCGTTAATTGCAGTATTTGTATGCATTTGGAAGAGTGTTGTGTTTCGTAAATACTGAAAGAGCATTCACATATTGAGAACACCAACAAGGTTGTCAGTCTTTGGGACTCAATATAACAAAGCTGGCAGCGGAGGGATTCGAACCCTCGCCTCCGAAGAGACTGGAGCCTTAATCCAGCGCCTTAGACCGCTCGGCCACGCTACCCACAAATAAGCTTGTTTCACTTGGTTTTACAAAACGAGAAAATCAGAGACATCTATTCTTTAATCCATTTGCATGCTGCGCCTGTGAGACTGGGTAGATGCTGGAGAATATACACTGTACTGTATTTGTTGCACCCATTCACTAATCCAGCAGATTATAATCAGCACAACTGTTCAGCAAGGTAGGTGAGCTAATTAGTGAAATTATCTGGTGTTTAGTGTTCCACTCTCCCTTTCGTGAGCACTGGTCCAAAATGTTCAGCAAACAATAGCTGTGGCGACAAGACAGTGAAAAGGTTGGGGAATTTTTTGGTATGCATTTTGTTAATTGCAGTATTTGTATGCATTTGGAAGAGTGTGGTGAAAGAGCATTCACGTATTGAGAACACCGACAAGGTGGTCAGTCTTTGGGACGCCATCTAACAAAAGCCTTAATCCAGCGCCTTAGACCGCTCGGCCACGCTACCCACAAATAAGCTTGTTTCACTTGGTTTTACAAAACGAGAAAATCAGAGACATCTATTCTTTAATCCATTTTCACAACAGCAAAATGTCTGAGAAGCTGGATCAAAGGTCATATTCCATGTACTTTCAACAGCAACGGAATTTGTTGCACCTATTCACTAATCCAGCAGATTATAATCAGCACAACTGTTCAGCAAGGTAATTAGTGAGCTAATTAGTGAAATTATCTGGTTTTAGTGCATGGGCAGAACGAATACATAGTAGGTTACTTTCTGAAGCTGGAGTCTCTGACTGTCACTGGGTGCTGAGGGTAGCCCCCCACTCACCTGTCTGCAGCAAGATGGCTGAGCTTCTCACCTGGCAGCCTCTTTCAGTCAACCTGGAAACATCTCTTCAACACTGTACTAATTAGGCTGAACCTAATTAGGTTGGCAGTCGTACGGCTCCAGGTTGAGGAGAATCTGAAGTACCATGGCCTCCAAGGATGCCGCCAGGTTGATGTGCTTTTGCCATTCAACCCAGCTGGCCTCTTCCACATTGAAGCTGAGCTGCGCCAGGTAAGCCTGCCAGCTGCCTCCACTGCCAGAGTACCAGAGTATGAGGACTACTGGACTGATACCCCAGCCTGAGCAGTGGCTATCGGGGGCTCCATTACCCGAATGAGGAGCTCTCGTCCTGCACACAGTTACTGCATTTCAAAACTTGCTAGGCTAAATAACGAAAAGCTTTTTGTTAATTTCAGTATTTGTATGCATTTGGAAGAGTGTCGTG